AGGGCCTTTTATTTTATAAGGCCCTCCTTGCCTCCTCAATGTTCGCTTCTTTCAAACTCTGCACCTTCAGTTTGTAACGCAGGCTTTCTTTCTGAACCCCAAGACAAGCCTGAAAAGGTTTCTCAGACTTCAGAGCCATGTAAGCCATTATACAACTGTACTAGTAATATATGACCTCTCACAGGCTCTGTCATTAACTTGGCTACAGTATAGGGGTTAGGACACATTTAAACCGGTGTGATCTGGAATAATAAAACTCTTGGTCTTTTAAACCCTTTGCCCAGAAAGTGAGGTAAAAACTGTTAAATCCAGTTGCCGTGTCCTTAAACGCCACTAGAGGTCATTGTATCTGAGGTTTAACTTCAACCTACTGTGGTTTAAGAGGATTATCTACATTACTCTTAATGTGTCACAATAAGTTATAGAAACAAGTACAATATTAAATGCTTATAACTTGAAAGTGATCAAGGTCAAGCAATTTTCACAATTTATTTAGAGCTGTCAACATAAAGAAACATTTTTAGAAGTAGACTTAATTGTCAGAGCTGAGTTGCAGAATAAGATGTTAAATAATCATAAATTATAACAGAGCCAAACCACAAGATGGCTTTACAAGCAACTTCAAGAATCTGAACCTGAACTCTGCAAGGAGAGAGAAAGGCGTAGGATGTGGTTTAAACAAACGTATTTAAACTTGTTGACTTCTGCTACAGGAAATACAAGACAAGAATTAAGATAAAATATAAATTTTCCAGGAGTACATTTCACAACAGTGGGATTTGTGTAAATATTTACAAAATCTAAAAACATTATCAGTGTCTATAAAAGTTGAGAGTCAGAAATGATGTCATTGGGTTCGCATCAATTTTTGATGACAATTTTCACTGTACTTTTGCCACCTTTCCGTGATGACGACAAATGTGAAGTGCGTTCATTTTAATCTTTACCTCTGGCTACTTCAGTATTTGGGCAGTATGTGGATGGACCTATTTATGTTGTAAACATCTTGGTCCTTTATTTGCAGGTTTCAGGCTCAGGACATGGAGGTTCAGCTGAGCGACGAGCTGGCCGGCTCCCTGCGACGACTCAAGGTACTTCACCAGCTGTTGCAATGTTCGCTCGCTCATCCACGTTGACCTTTGCCAGTGAGGACGCAAAGTCTTTATCTGTAATGAGTTTTGGTTCATTTAGTTGGTGTATTATCTTCAGCACTCTGTATTGTCTTATTTTAAGCTTTATCCTATTCTCTAATACGGCGACGACCCACTTTTCCCCACAGGCATCATTACAGTTTCATATGGTCTAATTGCCAGTGGAAAATTCCCGGCCCTTCTCTTATCTCCCGCCATACTGAATAGTACTTAAATCAGCCTTTGTGGTGTGAACGGGATTTTATAATTTGGGTGGGAATTGAGTCAAAGCAGAGCGTCAATTGTCTCACATGGATTTGTCTGGTCTCGTCTCTCCTATCCCCACCTCTCGCAATGGCGTGACTCTGCAGCCAGAGGGCAGCGTCCTCAAGGACCGCTTCAAGAGTCTGCAGAAGAGGAACCTGATTGAACCAAGAGAAAGAGCCAAGTAAGGACTTCTGCCTCGCTCTTGCATAACATCTCATCGAAGGCTCACAGTGACGTACACATACATAAGGTGTATACTGATTAGAAATGTGTCTCTGACTCTCTTTTCCTGCCTTCCCCCATCTCTTAGGTTCAAGAGGAGGCACAAGCTGAAGTATGTGGAGAAAAGGGCTTTTAGAGAGATCACTTAGTGGCAACCCACAGACCACAGGAGCTGAACAACAGAAGCTGGGCAGCATTTAAAGCCCCAAATGCACCATAATGGAACTGTGTATATAAACTTTGTAACTGTTGAGGGGCCTGTTTCAGACGATTATAACTGCTAACAAATTAATGTCTCTTTAATGATATAAACTGAAATGAAGTGTTGGGTATGAGTGTGGTATATTTCCTGTGTGTTTTGATATCACTTTTCACGCTTGGATTCAGATAATTTCATTTCAGTGTGCGTTATATAATATGACCCCTATCAAGAAAAGGTTTTCTAAGGGTTTAAAGCATACAGCTGGGTGTCAGTATGTCACTGCTCTGCTGGTATACGAGTAAAGACTTGGAGCTTAGGTTAAAAACAGGGTCAACTCTCTGCTGCTGAGATATTGGTCAGGTTTATTTATGTCTATCAGGGAGCCTGATATTTTCCAAGTTTACTGCTACTTCAAACATGCAAATGTTTGTAATATATTCTAAATTTCTTTAAGGGTTGGCATTAAAATTACACATCAGTGGGGAATGTTTCATTAGACATTCAGTTTTAAAAAGAAATGTCCTCAGTATTCCAGCGGGATTTATCCTCAAGGTTGGTCAAAAGGTAAAAACTACAGTAGCTGAAACCTTCATTCAGTTTTTCTCGTATCTCTTGAGTTTCTGTGCATCTGCTTCTGATGCCATGACACCCATCAAAAAGTATGACACGGTGATTAAAACGTTAAGACCAGAGGCAACAGAAATGGAAAAATTTATGTTTTTAATCCCCATATTTAGTTAAATGGAGTTGAATGGAAGTAGATGTGTTTTTTTTTAATCTTGGGTTTGAACAAACCCCGACAGATGGGCTTGAGGAAGTTGGCATGTGATAATTGATTCAAACCCTCTGGCTTAAAACCCTAATTGCCTTCAGTGTCCTGCTGGTGTGAACAAGGACACGCATACACAGACACATTCGGTCCCATGGTGCCTGGAGCTACGCCAAAGCTCCTTATCCGTTAATCAGTGTGAAAATGTAATCTTTTACCTTCAGAGTCTGCAGAAGCCCCCAAACCACCTAGCTGTCTGAATCAGTTGACCCCCCCCCCCCCCCCCTTTCAAGACAAAGTGAGTAGTGGATCCTGGACCACCTCCACCTGAATTAACCTGCTGGCTCATAAAGCCCCAGTGTATCCCTAAGGAAACCCATCCATTACTTTGAACTAAATCCTTTAAGTAGAAAACTACCCTATAATACACAACTGTCTGTATTATGCTGTAGGTGAGGCTGATGGGAATGTAATTACATTCCAGATATTTGGTCCTGAATTAAATATATAACCCGATAATGGCCCCAAATTAAAAGTCAGGGTATCGCAAAAAGTTATTACAATTCATCCAGATTTACCAAATTTCATGAGTCCATCTGTTTGTGGCAGAGGCTTTTTATCCAAAACCACAAATGTAGGGTAGAAAAAATGGCAGCAAATCACCAAAGTCAATATGGTTCATCCTGTTGGGACCATTGATTGTACAAAATGTAATGGCAGTTTAATGGTAATCCGTCCAACAGTCTGGACCACAGTGGTGTCCTGTGGCTAAAAATTAAATGTATATATTTTTTGTATTAAGTGGTTAATTATGTTTTGATTATTTAGTGTATGTCATTTATAGTGAAAAATGTTGGCTGTACAGTGACCAGAGGTCATTTCCTCGAAATGTCTTGAAATTTTTAACAACCTAAGGAGGAGTTTGCAATTTCTTTATAATTTGATATGTATAAAGCGCATATATAAAAATGAGCGAGAGATGAGTAGAAAAGTGTCTTTATAGCCAAACGACAGAGCTAAACCTTACAAGGATGTTAAGAGGTTAGAGAAATATCTTTCTGCTTTCTTGTAGCTCATGCCAGATGGAGGCAGATTGCAGCAGAGTTGTTTTTTGTTGTCGTATTTTTTTTTTTTTCTCCGTTTGCGTTACTCTCTTCACGTGTGAGAGACGGTGCTGCCAGATTGTCTTGGCATGGGGTAGGACGGATTATGTGCGTGTGCAGTCACTATTACATCCTTACTCCTCCTGCCTGGGCAGCCGGGGAGTGACAGAAGAAGCCACCAAAACACTCTGCTACACTGCATGGAGATGCTGCTGTGTGAGTGTATATTGTGATGTGAACCCGTTGTTGTTGGCTGCAAAGTGACGGTGGCCCAGCGTCCCCTTACCTGTCCCATTGTGTTGGGATCAAAGATCCTGTAGTTGGGCACAGGTGAAGGCCAGAGGCACGTGGACACTGAGGTTTGTGCTGCAAGCTAGCTGAGGTCACAAACATCCCAGCATACTCCATCATAGAGGTAAAATTCATGCATGGAAATAGCACAACGACCAGTAAATACTCATTTTAAATAACTTGGACAGAAAAAACAGTGAACACAACAATTGTACAGTATCGCATTAAGTTATTGTAGTGAACGTACTTGCACTCTGCATATTTACACATCCAGCAGACACAGAACCGCATTGATGTGGAGTGGTACTTGTGTCCACCTGATGAATAGAAGGCCAGATTATTAGGCAATTAGTCAAAATAAAATCCAATATTAACACCAATACAATCGATTATACCTGCTTGAAGTTAGTTATCAAGCCATAATCCAACATTTCAAAATGTGCCTGCAGTTGTAGAGTTGTAAACTTCTCTCTAGGTTGTTAAAAACATCGCAATATTCTTGACGAAATCCTGAGGACATGACCTCAGTGGTCACTTGTACAGCCCTGGGGGGCATTTTTCACTTTAATTAATAAATCTAAACATAATCAACCAATAAATCGATATTGAAAGAAATGCCCTCCGTGATACCCTAGGTCATGTTTTTCTTTGTGTGTGTGTGTGAGAAAGAGAGTGAAGTGAGAGACTGTCACTAATTCCATTTCTATCTCGCACACACACACACACACACACATTCTCTGCACATCTCTGTCTGGATGTGTGTGGGTGTTTCAAACATCCTCATTACTTTAGATATTGGTGCACACAGACAGAAGATGATAAAAACATAGATAGCTGTGAGAGAGGAATGGAAAAATGTTTGTGTGGTGTTGGTGGTGGAGCAGTAAGAGATGAAGATGAGGAGGAGGGGGGGGGGGATCAACACAGCGATGGAGAGTGAGTGAGAGGGGGGAGGAGCAGCGAGATGATTCCTCTCTAATCCCCTAGACACACGCTCGGTCTGGCTGCCTACTGGCTCAGAGAGAGAGTCGGAGGCAGGTGGAGGGTGCAAGGCAGAGAGAGAAACCAAGTGGGAAGGAAAAAACAAGATGAAGGGAAGAGAAGAAGGGAGAGCTGCCTCTCGTAAATAAACGCTGAGAGGGGGGGAGGCAGTGAGGGCAAAGAGAAACCAGCGACTCTCGCACGGTTTCAAGCAGAGGAAAGGAGACGGAGCAGGAGCAGGGCGATGCTTCAGTCCAGCGCTGCTTGAACCAAAGCAGAGGAGAGGGAGAAGAGCAACAGAGAAAAAGAGCTGGCAGAGAGGAGAGCACAAGAGGAGACACAGGGAGGGAAAGAGGAGGAAATGAAGAGGATGGAGTGGCAGAGAACGAGCAGAGACACAGTTCCCTGGTTACTCAGGCTCACATGAGTTACTACAAGATGCTGTCAAAGAACCAGTGTGTGAGGGCGGAGTGATGGAAGTCCGTTTGCACAAACTACGGCTGCTGCTTGAAGCTCAGTAGGGGTGTGTGTGTGTGTGTGTGTGTGTCAGTGTGAGAACATATGACAGACCAGCTGTTCTGGAGGTAAACAGGGCCAGGTGCACCCAGAGGAGGAAAACAAGGAGGGTAGTGGGAAGACACGGGAAGAGACAGCGTGGGTTTGTGTGCAGCCAGCACATAGAAGAAGCTTCAGTCCAACTTTCTCAGGTGCCGTTAAAGGGCGTGTGTGCGTGCGTGTGTGTTTTTGTACAACACCGAAAAAAGAAGAAAGGGAGATGACAGCAGCAACAATGAGGTGCCACTGAGCATCTCAGTGGTTGCTTTTGACTACTCTTTTACACCAGAAAAGCCACCTGAAGCCACTCCCTACCTCATCTCAACCCAACAAGTGGACTTGAAGACTCAGAAAAAGGGACTTTAACACCAGCTCTGGTGCCCTGCTGTCTTGGAAGCCCCCACCCGATTTCCTGTGACCAGTGGATGCCTCCTGACTCCCAACATGGGAGAATGGACCATCCTAGAGCGCCTCCTAGAGGCCGCCGTGCAGCAGCACTCTACTATGATCGGAAGGTGAGTCTTCTGAATGACGCTTTGACGTGGGGAAGTTTAGGAGTTCTTGCTCGCTTCTATCACATGCGCATGTGTCTTGATCAGCGCGTGTTTCTACTGTATGTCGCTGCATACACACAGTATTCAAGTATACCAGTGCACGTGTAAGAAGAGTCCTTCCCTGCTTCCAGTCAGTGATTCCTGGTCCAACATGGCTGATGGCCGGGAGAGGGGGGCTTTAGCTTCTTTAATCCCTCTGAGTGACATGATTGGAGGGTTAGGCAACAAGGAGGGATGCTTTTAGCCCACACGAAGGCTTTGGACATCAGAGGATCCAGAGCAGTGTGTAGACATCTCACCTTAGGCGTCCACAATGCCTTCATTCAGTTTTCTGCTGTACCTCTCTGTGCTGTCTTCATTCTCCCTCCAAGTCTCCCTCCTAGTCAAGTCTGCTTCAGAAGCCATCGCGTTACACGAGTGTGCCTCATTTGAGCTTTCCCACACCCCCCCCCCCCCTTTCCCTCTTTATTTTTCTCTTTCTTTCTCTGTCAAGTATGAAGTCATTTCACTACCTTAAAAAACTAGTCGGAAGGTCACGGCAGTTATGATTTATGTATCATTCTGCATGCCGAGACGTCTTGTATTTTAGCTTGAATAACTCATTCTCGTCAGGCCGCAGAATGAGCAATTATTGATGAGCGTTTTAGCCACAGAGGCACATCAGCTCTGTGGATGGTATTAAACATGACGTTACATCTAGTAGGCCTAAAGCACGTATTCCTGAGTTTGGGGTTTTCTTGGGACATCTTTGAAAACCACAGGTTCAGCATGGGTTCATTAGAGACTGTATGAATTAGCAGTTTAAACCAATCCCCTGAAGCAACTGACTCAGTCTGGCTAGTGGTACTCTTGAATTATTGAGTGAATAAATGTCAGCCAGTTTATGAAGTAAATGATGTGGAGAAATATTATTTTTTGGCAGAAGATGAGTCGTCCTCCGCCGACAAAGCTCTGAGTGTGAATTTCGTCATGTCGAGTTATGAAACTAAAGTGATTTCGAGTCTCGTTCTGAGAGGATTGTGTTGGTTGAATGGTTAGTTAGAGTTGTTTCCTTTGGTGTTGGTCAGCATTTGCTTCCACTCATTCATGAGACACTGGAAGTGGCAGTGTCGCTCATCAACTGGACTAGTCATCCTGGCTGCGGGGTCTCAGTGAGAGCGAGGAAGAGAAGACACAGAACGAGAGGGTTGTTAAAGAAAAGCACTAAAGAAAAATGAAATCCACTGAGGCAATCGAGGGGGGAAAAAGCAATAGTTTGGTTGCAAAGTAGAGAGAAGACAAGCAGGACTGACAGTCAAGAGTGCAAAATGTGCGAGACAGGAAGCAGATGACGGAGAAGGAGTAAAAAAGGCAGCGAGGAGCAGTTATTCACAGACAAGCGAGCAGACACATGGCCTCGGTCTGCAGGGCGTTGGTAGGAAGCCAAGAGGACTGTCTCGTCACGAGATGGTGCTGCATGTCACGACCTAAGCAGGGCAACCAGGACACCCGGCGGCAAAAAGCCTCAGATCATCTTTGCGCAGATTATATATGTTGTCCAGACATTTGAAATGTTCAGATGACGGGAGGAGCCGGCCAGAAGTTTTTCCAAATATCCGAATTTACACGCAGGTTTCCCAGCAGCCCTGAACAGTTTCACTTGCTTTTCTTTAGCCTTAATCCATTTGGATTCCATTTCCAGAAGCACTTAATATACAGTAATACCTCAGATTTTATAATGTACACCACTGAATTGTAGGTTTTCAAATGTTTCCAAAGATCTGGATGCTATAGATTTGTATACAGTATTTTTCTGAGAAAACTGAGGTTGCCCATTTGTTTAAGAATATTCATGTGTGCAGGAATTATATTAACAGTATCTCTTCAGCAAATAGGAAGCTATTCAACGGTTTGCTCAAGGAAACTTAAGCAGCATGGATTCTTGCTGTCGAGTGACTTGAACTCAGGCTGACATGCTGAAGGATGTAGCAACTGCATTAGCAGCTGAATGACAATGGAAAATTGGCAGATTTTCAAATACTTGACTCAGTTAATTCAGAGATGAGAACGATTCCAGGTTTCGCTTGGCCCCCCACTTCAGTCCAAACAGAAATATCAACAACTATATTACTTGGATTGCCACGACATTTGGTACAGACAGTCATGCTCCCCCCGCGACACTGTACACAGGATAAGCGGTTGACGATGGATGGATGAATGGATGAGTCATGCTCCCCTGAGGATTAAACATCAACATGTTAGAATTGCCATTGGGAGCATGCTAGCATGGTGACATTAGCATTCAGCTCAAACCACCGCTGTGCATACAGAGCTGCTAGCACGGCTGTAGACTCTTAGTGCTGTTGTCTTATTGAAGTCAAAGCACAACAATCATAAAAGATTCATTAAATGATTAATCATTAATCATTAAAAACGTGTTAACACAGTTAGTTCTTTTGGCCAGTCAACCATTTTCTAGCTTTAGGTTCTGTGTGACAGCCTGGACGTTCCCACAGTAAAGTGCCTTTCCTGCATCTGGCTTTTCTACAGCTCAAAACCACCTAATCTGGGACATCGCTGCTGACATGAATTTTTATAAACGCACACTAATACTCCCTCAATCCTAAAACCTATTGGTTCCCCCGCTGCAATTTCACACGTCTCATTGGTCAGCGCAGGTGTCGTCCTCCTGGCAAAAGCGTTGGACAGGTTGCCATTCCTGAGGCGATGCCAGCGTGTCTTCTCATGAGCCCACCATGACAACAGCCTGCAGGCCTAAGTTGATTTGTCATACATGAGTCACACACACATTAGGGGGAATATAACACTTGTTGTTTTGTGTAAGATTACAAACGACTCTAGAGATTCCCTTCTACGGTTAGGGTTGTGTGTGTGTGTGTGTGTGTGTGTGTGTGTGTGTGTGTGTGTGTGTGTGTGTGTGTATGCATAAACACTCAGACTGTGTGTAAAACGTGAGCTCCGGTGTACATTGCAGGCATGTCACATGTGCTTGGATGGGTTTCGGTCCTGTCTATGAGTGTGTGTTTGTGTATTCACCTGCTACCTGTGATTAATTCCTGCCATTACGGGCAGAGGGGCAGGCATAAATCGACTTCCCCAGGACCTTCTCATGGACTGTGGGAGCCCAGCACCTGTTGGTACACACAGCCTCTGAGGAGAAATTGTAGTGAAGCACTGTCTACCTAACTACTGTCAACACATCGCTCATGCTGTGCCTGTGGTCCCGCTCCCACAGGCTACAGTCCCATTTGTGAGCTGCCATTGGTCAGAGTGGGACTGGTGAACATGTAATTCCATCCTCACACCATCCTGATATTGATCTCCAATAATGGAACAGAAAGTGGAGCCCTGATAGAAGACAGAACACTTACTGAAAAAGTCTTTAGACCTGTCCATTTGCAATACAAACTGGCTCCTGGGTTGCAGCGACTGGAATGTTAAGTGAGTGATTAAAGCTGTAAGTAGCTCATTGACTTTTGTGCCATGATAGTAATTAGCAGACCATATATTTGTTCTTGCAATACCTTTCTCAACAAGAGAACCATGGTTAAATACCTGTAGGTCAGATAAAAATTACTATACTACTATGTACAAAGCTGAATGAGAACTATACACCAGATGACTCTCACTCCCCATTGCTTGATGGTTTGCCTGTGTAGCGGCTAGCTATGAATCTCGAGCTGATGTTAGCAAACCTACTAGAAAACACACTTGCACATCGGTAACGTTACTGTAGGTGCTCTTGCATCAGTTGCTGTGTAGCTTTGTTGGCTAGCTAGCCACCCAAGTTTCAAGCAACATCATGCTGCTGCTGCTGAATCACACCAAATCTTACATAATGTTGCTTAAAAGCCTTTTTTCTTCTAAAAGTGAAACTTGGAATACATTAAATCACTCACGCACTCTTCTGTCAGGCTCCTCTTGGAGCAGTCTGAAATGTCTTTTGAACTCGTCTTCATGATATTCTAGGACACCTGTGATTTTTGGTTGCTTTACAGCTAATTTTGTCCCCCGTCTGTTACTTCAGTAAAGACGTCAGGAGAGGATTTCAACTCATTTTCACTTGTCATGAATTTATTTCCTCCGTGGAAGAAAAATAGACTTGAAGAAACTCTTTAGCTTAACAACATTAAAGCTACAAACAACACACAATGAAACACTGTAGGAGAGTTTATTCTGGGACGGTCTCCATTCAAAAACAATACTGAATATGATGATATGTCCCTTTCTTTACCCACATATTTTGGTTGAACAGTGTTTTGCCTGACCATGACTACAGGCAAAAGTATACCTGTTTAGAGTGGCCACACTTTCTTGGGGCAAAGAGCCAATTTCTCTCCAATAATTTTAAATCTTTTGTATGATTTTTTTGTATCTCCCCTCTGAATTGTACAAAAGATGGATAACAGAGCACATGCAGGAACATTCTCTCCTCAGAAGCATTTGTGGTGTTGCACTCAGTTGTAGACACAGAATGTGACTGAAGTCAAGATCTACCTATTGCCACAGCTCTTCACACTTGGCCAGTCGCAGCAAACAGTGATGATGATGATACTCAATTATCAGACCAAGTCTGAACTGTCATGTCTGAGCTGTCCAAGTCTGCTGATGGAAAGGAGGTTTTAAACTCTGTTATGTGATCTGACAAGCACTTTGTTTGGAGCATACTGAGGCCCTAAAACTGCTTTGAAGCACTAGACACTCATTTTAAAATACAGTCCTCGCAGCTAGTTCATTTGGAGCACTACGTAGAAATCCTAGAGAAGAAGAGATGGTTGAAAGTTTGCTTGTATCTCAGCATGCCTCTGCACATGTGCACTTTACAGGAGGTGATCAAGAGTGTGTGTGTGTGTGTGTCTGTAGAAACTCCTCATTCTTGACACAGCGCAGCTCGCTCAGCATGACTCCTCAGCATGGCTCAAAGTCAAATGTGTGCTGTCACTCAGGAACCGTCAGCTCAT